TTTACCAACCGAGCCATGAAGAGTATCAGCAAACAGAGAAGCGTTTTCACAATAGGAAGGCATGGGCTGAAATGTATTTATTGAGCTTGACTGATGTGCTAGTCACTAGCTCGTGGTCAACTTTTGGGTATGTTGCTCAAAGCCTTGGAGGGTTGAAGCCATGGATACTCTACAAACCTGAGAACCATACAGCCCCAGATCCACCTTGTCGTCGGGTCATGTCAATGGAGCCATGTTTCCATGCCCCTCCCTTTTATGATTGCAAGGCCAAAAGAGGCATTGACACAGGTGCACTGGTTCCTCATGTAAGGCACTGTGAGGACATGAGCTGGGGTCTTAAGCTTGTTGAAAATGAGAGTGAGTTGTAAGCATAATTTTCCACGCACTCTGTTGTAGAATAGCACGAGTAATATTAAATCCTAAAATTTGTCCTGCAAATATTTTTGTTGGCTCATCTTTTAGCACTTCGTTTCCCTAGCAAGATTCTGGTATGTATGCAGTTGGAATCTATGCTTATGAAATGCATCCCATTGACAATTGCTGGGAAAATAATTCCTAGGTGGCCTTTAATTTGGGTAGAGAGAGTTCCAATCAATGGAAGAAAGAAGGAAAAAAAAAAACCCTCTTCCACTCCGAAGTAGGGTTGGCAAAGAGAGGTTTTTGTTGATCCTGAACCCGACTCGACTTTTAAACTCACCAAACCCGAGCCTAAATTTTTTTTTCATACTCAAACTCGATCCGACCTGAGATTATATAAATTGTATCATACTCGATCCGAAATTAATAAAATATTATTTTTTAAATATTAAATATTATATATTTAAATATATAATTATATAATTAAATAATTAAAAATAATTTTTTATATAATATCGAGTTGAGTCGGGTCAAATCAAAACCCGATCCGACCTTGATTTTTTTTTTTTAGCCTTACTCGATCCGACCCGAAATTCAATTTTCAAATAAAAAAAAATCAATCATACGAGATCGGATCGGATCGAAACCATCGAGGTTGAGTTGGGTTGCTGACCCTACTCCGAAAGAATCATTCAGCATTAATTCTTCTATTTTTCGTTTTGCCAAGTGTTTATTCCTTCATTCACATTACCGCAGAGCAAAAATGAATAGCATAAAGCACTAGCATATTTGATAAAAAGTGAGAAAATAATTAGCCTACTTGGATCGATTTGACAGAGACCAACCGGGAAATAGACTGACCCGATAAGGAGACCAACCCGAAAATGTACAGAACCCATTATTGGCATCATATATTCCAAGATAGCTTTCAGGCAATTTTTTCACTGGAAGAAGCATTATCCAGTTGCAAATCCAAAGTATCATCAGTTAATGAGACAAACATAACATATTTCATGTCTGTATATATAACATTAAACTCATCTCCACTGCCTGACTATATCTTTGCTTTGCTTCCATCAATTCTTCCTTCCTTCAGACAAGATAATATGGTATCCATGTCTGCGATATAAAGAGCAAAATAACCGAATAACAGTCAGAGTCAAGGATTTTGAAAATGTTAATGGTATAAAGCTGAATTTACAACAAAAACACATACGTTGATTTGAAGGGTGCACTAGTAGCTCCAACGACTGTGTTGAAGGCAACTTCTTGAAATGGGCCAGCCATCTTACCCCTCGGAAACCATCCTAAATCTCCACCCTTCTTCCCTGACGGACATTCTGAATATTCTTGAGCTATCTGGAAAAAGAATATATTTAATGAACACCAGAAAAGAGTATCTCGGTAAAATGAAATTCTCTATGCTCCCGTCAGTCGCAATGATAAACAAAACCTATTATAAAAATTCACAACCCTAAGCACACATATAAGTAATAGTAAATTCCCCTTGACAATATGCATTTGCATGAATGTGTAGAGCACATAAATGAAGAATTCCATTGGCTCAGTCAGTAACTACCCAAAGTTCTAGCAAAAAAATCCATGTCAGAGACTGTCATACATGCCTGCATGCACTAGAGAAAATTTGGCCAATAGTTTGCTCAACAAAAACAAGTAAATTATTGATCAACACCATAGTTTTCTATCCTTCTCAGATATTATGATGAGAATAGCCCAACCAATCCTCATTCTTTGATTTTCACTAGAGAATCACATGAGGATGTGACGGATAAAGGAAGTACACGGTCGGATTATTTGAAAATAGTTGACAAAAATCTAAGCAACCAATAACCGTTCCCAATCATATTTAAGCAAGTTATGAACATACCAATGTTACTGGCATCACAAAGTGCCATGACTAAAGATTGTCCTCCTGATTATTAATTCTTTTCCTGATGCCAAAATTAGATTTCTAGTATGGTATCTTTCAACATTTAAATAATGACAGCCTGATATGTTCACCTTTGCAAATTCAGCTGGTGGCACCTTATCACCATTGCTTAGCCAACCATCTTGCAGTTTCTTGTATGCTTCATTAATCTTCCCCTGCTTCTCACATAAGATGTGTCTAGCTGAACAATTGAACAAAAAAATAACAAGCAGAACAAGAAGAGTGTAAAAGATATGTGATGAAAAGCAATAAGTAACAATGCTATTACAAAAAGAGTAACAGGAAAACAAGACCTTTAACATAAGTGCAGGTGCCAAGCCCATCTCCCTTCCCTGCTTTCCCTTTACCTTTTGAAGCACTTTCATCACTTCCACCTCCGGCTTGTTTGCCTTTTCCCTTAGCTTCCTTTGGTTTTGAGTCCTTTCCCATTGCTCAAAAACCTAATTATCTAAGTACAAATTAATGTAATTATTGGAAAAAACAGCTTCAATGGCATTTACAAAAGGATGTCAAATGGTAAGATTTTGATTTTTTTTTTTTAATTCACCCTTTTTGGGTAAAAGGATTTGCTGTAGTAAATTGCCCCGTTTCTCTAGCAACAATCTTAAATATTACAAAAAGCCCCAATACAAAGCTATTAACAGTGACAAAAGACTCCATATTTATTTCCTCCTCTCTTGTAAACTTGTTGGCAATAAAGCACATAAATTATATGATTAAAGATAAAATCAATGCCCTTTGATAAGAAATTTATTGTTTTAGCCAAAATGTGGAAGTATTACTGCCCTTGAAATAAAATTTTCCTTTTTAACTGATTATTCAGTTCTGCATAGATCTAATCATATCTGGTAACACCTAATAGAATTAATAACTTCAAAGATGAACTACAAAGACCGACCAACTATTGAAATCCCAGTGGCTCAACAATTTGGGAACTAAATTGTCGCATTAAACAATGATTTGATGCATGGTAAGAAAAAGACAAAGGTATCATGCAAAAGGTGGTGGGTAAAACTGTTATGTTCCAGCCATATTGCTCCTTGTACTAAAAAGAAACCACAATTCAGTAATAGTTATTTTCAGTCCTGAAAACATTTTGGACAGTTCACATCCATTCTAGTTCATACGCAAGGTCATTGAGAACAGACTTCCTGAAGTGGGAGATTCGGTTTAAAGGACAAAATTTCTCCAATACGTTATTTAATCTACACCTTTCACACTACTTCAATCATATTAATTTTATACATTTCATTTCCAGAAAAACTCATCCAACAAAACTCTACCAAATTATTGCTAGTGTGTCCCTGATTCACTCTTAAGACTCCAAAACTTTTGGGTGCCCATTAATCCCAATCTCATCATCAATTTCTTTTTCTTTTTTACTCGTAACAGACTGTAAACATTAAACCCATTATTCAACAGCAATGTTGAAGATCGTGCAAACATATATATTAACGCTAACAAAAAAAAACCCACAAACTGAAAAAAAAAAAAAAAACTGGTGAGAATAAATGAAATAATTAAAAAAAGGTTGGAATTATTCATAAAGGCGAAAATTTGATTCAAGGAGCATGAATTAAAATAAGAAAAATTTGTAAAGAGAGAAAGCAAGCGATCTGGGGGTTTGATAATTTACCGTGTATGTACTGTAACGCAATCAAAGAGGGACAAAACAGAAGATGAAGTTCACAAGTATGCGACCAGGTTTCCCCGAAGCATGAAGAGATCACTTCTTTAGGGGACTTTGAGGTTGGGGCCTTTAGGGCTTCAGCTTTGGCTTTCGCTTTCTACTTAAATGACGCTATTGCCCTCACTTAATTACTATTATTATTATTTTTTTGAAGAAAATCATCTTTTATTTTTAGATAAAAAAATATGTTAGTAAAAGATATAAATATATATATTTGGTCAGAAATAAAAAAATTATTTATTAAAATCATGATAATATTAATTGTTGGTAAAAGTACCCGTTGTGGCTTGGCTCAATTCTAAGCTCTTTTTATAACTCGTTACAAACATTGTTTAATTCTATAAAACATGTTTTTATAAAAAAAAAATTTGATAATTTAAAAAACCATAAAAATTTTATACTACATAATTAATATTATATATATAGTATGATATTTGATGTCCATGACTATGGATGTGAAATATGTCCATGAATATATGGAGATATTCATAAACTTTTAATCGAATCGAACCGTTGATGAAACTAAGTTAGTGCTTATAATCTCACTTGTCAGCGAAAAAGACAAACAAGTGGCTGAGAAATTAGAGGTATATATTTATAACTTATTCAAATGCATAAGCTAACTTAAGCTCATATATTCATATATTTTATTAAAAAAGTTACTTTAATAAAATTTTTAGGTTAGTAAAGAAATAGGTAAATAAAAATTAATCAATATTTAATTTATGAAGAAAATTATCACTTAAGGAAAGTTTAATAAGAAAATAACAAAAAAATTTGTCAATATTTGACTTTAATAAAAACCATTAATTAAATAAATTGTCAAAAATATATAACCTTTAATATTTGTAGTATATATAAATTTCAAATTATGTCAGCCTATATCCCTCAGCATTAATATGGTGTAATTTTTTTTATTAACATTATTGCCAACCAAAAAATATTCAAAACCTCTTAAAATAACCAAACGTATAGAAGTCGCTTGATCAGTAGTAAAAGAATAGAGATTAGATTTACGAGTTTTCTCATCGCAAGATATAAAAGAAAATGAAGAACCAAAAACAGTTTAAGATGCAAGCCTACAAGCCAGTGGGAGAAGCCCTGATGGATAAACTTGGGGAGGGCCAGAACCACCGAAGGAGGAAGGCAGGCATAATTACACGCACCTTTCAACATGGAATGACAATAAAATGGTACTTTTGTTTTCCTATTCCAGCCAACCTATTAGAGAAGAGAGTTGTACTAACACTGATGATATTATAATTTCCATTATGGGCTAATTTCAGCAGCCAATTATCTTTGATCGACAAATGATTGTTGCATGGACTTTAAAAAGTGTCAGATGTTTACAGATTTTGAAGTATAAAAACTACATTGGTTACCTCAAGATGTGTCTGCTTGACAACATCTCATTGATGGCCTGTTAGTTTAAAGCTATCATCCGAGCAACATAAATCTCTGATATGTATATCACCTGCCTGCAGTTCACGCGTGAAGCAGCTTTAACAGGACCTGCATTTTATGAAGCTACTTAGTCTGAGTCTGACAGTGACATCTGGTAAGAATCTCTTGGTTCCAAATTGGTTATCGAAGGAGGTAGATCATTGTTTGACACATTTCTTGCCCTGCGTCTCTCTCTTGGTCTGGGTTTATCCTGGATAGCAGATAGCAGCTAGTGGTCAAAATACAGTTAAGATTAAACGAAAAAGGAGGATGATCCGCAAGGAGCAATCATATACAATGAACTAAATATCTTTCTATTCTCTGTGCTAAACAATTATATACATGATTAAGAAAGTAGAACTAATCAGCCGAATATTAAAGAAGACATGAGAAACATGAAATATAAACTCTACAGTTGGTGCAATATTCTTCTAAGGTTCTGTTCATTTGGTGTTTTTGCCAATCGATTTTTGCTATTTTTCTTTTGTATTCTATTCTTTTTTTTTTTAATTTTTTCCTTTTGCTTTCTATTCCTTAATAGCAAAAAAGCAAACAAACAAAGCCTAAATGAATGATTAAAGCTTGATCTATTGAGCTACTTAGAGAATGGTTTGAATGATACCCACGTATCACATGCAGATATTAGGATTATGTAAAAAAAATCAGGCTCACAATAGTCATACAGGAGGGATAGGGATGGTAAGAGGAGAAGATTTCATCTATTGAGCAGATAATTTGGTGGATAATAAGCCTGGCTAAGACGACTTAACAAGGACATATCAGCATGCTGAAAATCAAGAATAAAGCATAAGCGCATAATTTATTGCCAATCCATTGTCACAAGTCTTGTTCATGTAACAGACAGAGAGGTAATTAGGCAACTTGCATGAATAAACAAGTGTTATTTCACAGTTGCCACGCAAACTATTTTAAGGCATTTAGCCCAACTGAGATGGAGCAAAAAGTACCCTTTTTATCTAGTGTCTAGCTTCCTATGAATGCATATGAGATGGTAATTATTACTGATTCCAATTAGTAGCATCAAAAAGCTATGTTACTTTAACACTGTAAAAGAGATGCATTCTCAATTATCACCTACATTGTTATCAGTTTGGCTTGGTTGACTTGACTGAAATGCACGATTCTGTTGACTCCTCATCAACCAGATGGTACCAAAGGACATCAAGGATCCCAAAAGCAATGCTGGACCAATCCTTGGATCCCCTAGATAATCATATAATCGAATCATAATGCCCTGGATTTTTGCCTTTGCTCCCAAGCTTTTGGAAAGTATGCCTTGTTGACCTCTTGACCAGAAAGGCTCTGCATCCTCGGGAACTAGTTCTGGTGTTTTTACCCTCTGCAATGGAATAAACCTAAATGCTTGAGTGGCAAGTTTAAGGTTTCAAAGGAGACTGATAACAGAGTTATAATTTGAATAACAAGTGTCACGCAACACCATTTTACAGTCCAGTAATAAATATATAGAAGCCACCCCACCTCTCTTCCTTGTGGTATTAAGCCCAAGGATGTGTTACTACAGCAAATCATCCCACTCTAAAACATTATATAAACAACATAAATTTGTAATAGTAGATATCACTTGACTACAATTTCTGAATGAATGAAGATACAAATATATTGGTGTAGATTACTAAAATAATCTAATGAGAAGGTTATCTATTGGTGTGGATTTTGCTGAAAACCACAAGTTCATACTAGGAAATAGTGATAAGAGTCAACATAAAAAATTGAAACAAAGAGTATCCACAAATATAAGCCTTCTTTTAGAAATTACTCAAAGAAACAAGATGCTGCATACATAGAAGGGGAGTTTCCTGGAGTCACCATCCTTGATTATATTTGATATCCACTCGATGATCTACAAAAGTGGCAAACAAGATTGACAGATAATTAGGAAATACCTATTTATTGGCTTCAGAAGGTTCCAAATATCTCTGGTCTCTTAAATGAGGATTCTCGACAGAACAACAGAAAATAAATAAGGCAAACTTATGAACATATAAAACAGCTGAAGCATGAAGGCAGCTGATATTGCAGCTAAACACAAGAGATAGATGCTTATGCCTGGGAAATTTCAGCTGAACCATTATAAGTCACTGAAAGTTGTGCAGCAGGATCAACTTCCTGTTGGTGGAATTCCCATATACTTTTTGTCTTCTTCTCAACCTTAACAGTATCTTCAGTAGCATTCCTTTCATAGCGGACAATGAATAACCGAGGGAGATCAGTTGGAACTCTCCTTGGTCCACATGTTTCATAACTATTTTCCATATTAAGGTAGAAAAAACAGTAGTTCTGGATAATACTCAGAAAACAAATAAGAGGTTAGATACAAATAAAATGATTATAATAAAATCTTTGTACAAAAATTTGTAATATAATTCTTAGGAGATAATATATTGGTTTGGCCAGTCTAAGATTTAATGATTAGCTATCATGGTATGAAAGCCCACATAACCAAATAGTCGAGCTTTCAAAACCCGGCACCCGTTGTCATGCTAAAAATTAATTTCAACACAAGATAGTGATGGCTTGTGCTTGGACCAATTGCAAATCCCAATGGGCTTGCTCATGCAAATGAGGGAGAGTAATAGGAGTTACAATGTTAGTTTGACAACCTATTAGCTAAAGCTTTTTGTTAAAAGAAAGGTTGGCTATCCCTGATAATTAATACAGTTTCAGGGCCAGCTTAAATATTGAAGTCAATCACTGTATTTGAGACAAATTATGGGAGAGAGAAATAGAATGACCGTAGAAGCCCAGGCTCAAGATCATCCGTAATGCCATCTAAATTCAGATCTCATTATAAGCCCTTTTTGATACTCACGTGTTCCCCATACCTCTTAAATATACCCTAAACACAGTATGAAAGAGGCTCTCACCTAGGAAACACAAGAAGAAAAAGATTAAGATAGGCAAATTACCGAGAAAGGAGCTCTTTTTAACTTTAAAATCACAGGCATTCTTGAACATAATAATAAAAAAGAACTCACCTTTTGGACTTCTCCATCAAGCCAGCTTAATGTCAATCGCTTGTTTTTTAAAGCAATGGCGGCTGTTATTGAGTGCTGATCTTCACTTGCTGCATTCAACTCACCAGACTTTGATAATGTTTCTTGAACCCTGCGCATGGTCTATAACCTAATTTAGTTCACCCCATATCCTAAAATCAAGGAGTTGGCCACCATGTTGTCCTCCTCCGTAATGCTAAATAGGATTAAATATCATTGCATTCCATTGAAAATAGATACACATGCACACATGTGCAAATGAATGCAGACAGACTTTACATATATTCATTGTGTGTTATCCTTTATTCAATTTTCTATCCTTCCAAGCTGCCAGTTTCAAGTGTAACAAATCTTTTCATGATCATCTAATACTTATGGCTTCTTTTCAGATTAGAGTAAAATTTTTCTCATTAAGAAAAATACTATCTAATCAAGTAACAATAATCCGGAGTGTCATTTGAATTTATAGAACAAATGAAAGAGGAATTGCTAATCCTATTTTTCAAAGACAACAACTATTATATCCTACCAAAGTTGATATATTTCCTTTCACATAAACTGCAAAATGTGTATATTAAATACAGACAAAATTCAATTCTCGATGGTTAGAACTGTTATAAAGAGGTTGAAAAAAATGCATAGGCAAATAATGCAACAGGAAAAGATATGAAGAGGATTGAATATATGGAACATAATCTAGTGCAAAGAAGCTTACTTCTCGCATACTGTCAAGTTCCGGACCCATCCTTCCAGCTAGGATAGCACAATACCAGATCATGGTATCACGCCCAGCATGAGAATAGCCACGAGCATTGCATCCTAGTTCCTCTGAAGTCAAACTCCTTAATTGAGGAAGCTCTGAAAAAAAAAAAAAAAAGAGACATAAAGCCCTTTCTTAAGGAAAGAAGAAGAAATGAAAGATTACTCTACAAAAATTTGGCACAGTATTGCAAGATCAGTCAAGTTTTTCTGCATTTCACACTAAGAAAAAAGTATGATGCTTACACAAATAGAGAGGACAATTGTATAACATTTTCAACCAGAAATTTGATAATCAGACAGGTTTCTTTGCTTTCCTTTGCACTTACAAACTAAATTCATTAATATCATATTCCATGCTGGCTTTAAGCAAGCAATTTTGCAACATTTTATCACATGCTTAGCATTTATACTGAACTTGATTTCATAGATGATATCTATCTGAAACATTAGATCTGTTAAGTAGTGGCAGAAATCAGTCAATTTCTATTTTTGATTTTACCATCAAAGTTGAAGGGAATAATGATCTTGGTACCAAGTATTTAAGTAATGAAGCTAAGCAACTCATTCATCTCATTCATCCATTTAGCACTTTAAATGAATCCAATACTTTCCTAAGAAATAGAACCACATGCACTTTTAACCTACTGGGAAACAATTTTCTGTCACATCTCTAATAAACTATTGCTAAAAATTATGTAACTGATGGATCACAAAGCTTTGCTAAGATACATGCCAAATAACTGTGCATCTTGACTTTCTACAACATTCCTTTCAAGCAAATAAAATTAAAATTCACAATCAATTTGGGAAACAGAATGCAGTCCACTATCCAGCTATCCAGTGTGCACCAGTGACACTGTGCAACCTGAACCCACTGGCTTGTGGTCCTTAGATGATGTATATAAGATAATATGTTTGGATATCATAAAAACATATTGAAAAAAAAAAACTAGAGATTAGGAATGTCTTGACTTCTTCACTGACTGTGAATTCCAACATCCTGCGTAGTCATATTCTTGAGTCTTTTACCTATCTACCTCTTAAAATGACAAGAACATAAAAAGGATGAAGGAACTATGCACGAAGCACATTCTTCTCAACAACAGGTGGGAGTGAGTAACGTGAGTTCTTGTTATTAAGTGATTAAAAGAAATTACTAAGGTACCATTTGTAAATAGTAAAAACAAATTCATATTTTTACCTAAAAAAGTCATACTTTTACCAAACAGAAAAGAAAAAAAATCATGTTTGATTGAGAAATAAAAGCATGCGTTTTGTTCATCATGAAAGTTAAATTTTACTTTCTAATTCTTGAAAATATTTGCTTTTATATCCAAATACACTTAAGATTTACTAGTATTAAGAAATGCTCAAATATACCTTGCTGTTTGTTCTGTTCCAAGACATCTAAAAACCACGAATCATTCACTGATCCTGCAAATAGTACTCACAGCTCAGCTGAGAACATGAACCACAGTAATTAAATTGAAGTTCTATAGGCATCAAGAACTGATAAGAAATAGAACAAATATGCAGTAACATGCCATGATACACAAGAGGTTTTAGACCCGGATCTTTCAAGAACACGACAGCAGGCACAGACTCCACTCCAAACCTGTTATTAGTTTATAAAAATCTGTCAAGGTAAATGCTATCATAGAAGATGAAAGAAGACTAAAACTCAATGATTGCAATATAAAATAAACAATCAGAGATATCTGTAACTATATATGGTATTCTTCTCTAATTAATATACAAATCTAGCACAAAAGAGAAACCAAATCTACATACGCAGTCCACCAAACGGACAATTCCTCTTCACGCCATAGGACACAAGCAAAAGTGGCATAGTTCCAATAAGCCTTTGCAGCTTGACGCACTACAGGAGTTGCACGCTCCCCTGTTTTTGAGAATAAAATCACTTTCACCTACGAGTCAGAAGCATGAAACAAAGGAAAATTAACAAAACAGAAGAGCATTCAATATTCAAAATGTTCAAATGTTGATAATATTTATATTACAAAAAGAAAAAAAAATGAAGGATAAGAGTTCCATTGTCACTAACATCACAACATGTCATAGAACATCAGCAGTGCATATACACAAGAAATTACTAGTAAAATGCATCAATAATTATAGCATGGAAATCTATGCTACGCCAATAGACATTTAAAAAAGGGCTCTCCAAAAAGGCAAAAAACTGATGAAATGATATTATAAACAATGTTACAGGATCTTTAAATATTTATAGAAAGCTTCCAAACAAATGTTTTAACGTAATGGACTAACACATAATACAAAATGGAACAACCCCTACTCTGAGAACCCTCCCTAGCAACAACTTGTGTATAATTTGTCCATTCAAGACACATTCAAAATCATTTTTTTAGTACCCTTGAACTGATTTGTTATACATAATTAACAGCTTCCTCCTTGTTCTTAGATTATCAAATCCAAGTATGAATTAGAATATTTATCTTTTCCTTTCTATTTGAAATTTCTTTCTACCTCATAATTAAGGACTAGGATCAATAATAATAATACATAAAAGAGATGCAACAGGAATTAAATGGTTAGCTTTCAACAAAAAGTATCAAACAGGAAATCCCTTACACAAACACACACACCACTTGAACAATTTGAATAAGAAAAATGGTGAATAAAAAAAAAATCCCTCTAAGATTTTTAGGTCCTCTATGAGAATAAAACAGCAATACATAAATTATGTTACTAAACAACCGAAGCCCAAACTACCGACATACATAGACTAACAAACCGAGAAAGCAACAGATAACTGTTTAAATTCATGAAACAAAAGCCATTATAATAACCAGGAAAAATGAAAGGAAAAAAAAAAACAACAGACAAGGGCAGTCTGGTAATAAGGTCAGATCTTCTATTAAGTTAATACGAAAATAATAATAAAGAAACTGATTCATGCTACTTCGATTCCATATTGAATGCCCAAGTTGAACTCTTTGAATTTTAGGTTCAATTAACGATAATATTGATATTTAATAGTAGCAGTCAAGATGTTTTTAAGAATAGATTATAGAAGTTTAAACAAAGAAGATGACATAATTTTGGAATATTCCACAAGAGAAAGGCATACATTCAATATAGAATAAAGGGAGTGGCACAAATAGACTGACAAACAAATCATGAGAGATTCAAGAAAATAAAATCATGTTGACCATGTTAGAGAATAATGAACACTGGAACCAGACAAAAGAAAGAAAAAGTCATACCTTATGGGGACTACTTTTTGCCAGAAACCTTGGCCCCTGATATAAGAAAAACAATGACATTTTTTCCAGTAGTAGGAAGAAGTTGACACAAAAGCAGAAAGAACAAATAAGACATGGTTAACAGAACTCAAAAAGCAAAATATAACAAGAACCTCAAAATTTTAAAAATTTCATCTAAAAAAGTGAAAAAAAAATAAGGATGACCATTATTCTTTTGACAGTGAAATGAGTTTGATACCCTGAAATATGGTAGGGCATCTAGTACGTGAAGTATAAAACCAAATTTGACAACAATGAAATTTCAAAATGAATGCCTAATTTCCTAACTATTCTTTTCATTGACTTCAAATGGATATTAAGAATTTATTCCCACATTTATTTAATAAAAATAAAAGTAGGACATGGAAATAGCAATAACCAATGAGCTGCTGAAGTTACGAGTATGAAGTAAAGCTTATCAAGAGAATAACAGCTAAAATAAGACAATTCATCCTCCTGATCTATTCAAATAGAACAGAATATACTCGCAAAAAGAGGAGAATTGTTTTTGTTTTTCTTTCCTTGTAGGAACTTTTTATGCAGGTGGTATCAGAAAATATCTTTATTCAAGAAAACTGCAATGACAATCAAATTTCAACCATGGTTTAGAATTGGATTTACCAATACTAAAAAACCTTAATTAAGAATAAAAAGTCACATGATGACTTCAAAGAGATGCTATACATTACCAATGATTCCTTTGAATAGTAAAAGATACGAGGCAAGTTAAGTACGGCCGCTGCAAACCAATCTGTAACTGCATCAACAGAGAGCTCTCCCTCAAACCTATATATTAGTATCAACTTAAGATATCATTACAGTATTAAAAGGAAAAAAAATTCGAACAAGTACAGAAGACATTCAGTTACAGTAAATGGGAGATATAGTAAAGTGTATAATGTACACTGTAAAACAAAGATAATGCTTTTCACTATATAAAATAAAATATGCTTCAAGTATTTTAAATTTGTTTGATCAGTATTTTTTTTTTTAACTTCTGAATTCAAACCTCAAATGCAACTTACCTGATAAGACAGTCTGAAGTTTTACACCCTGAAGGGAAAGCAACCACTGAAGGAAGACCTGTATGCATTATTATTAAGTTAAACAAAAAAATAAAGGGCTTGGTCACACTGAAGTTAAAGTTTCACAAAAAAAAAAAAAAAGACAAAACAGCGGTTGAAGTTGTCAGTGGCAAAGCATCTACTAAGAGGGAGAAGAAAAGTAAATTGAAAAGAATTCAATGAGTTCCTACAGAAACGAACATAAAATGCTTTCATTCAGAAAATACAATCTGAAAATCCTCAGCCATTTAGATGCTTCATAGCACCTCCATTTTACTCAATCATTGGAATAATTGGCAGCACAATAGTAAGAATTACATCATCTTCAAGCATTATAAAACTGTGACATTGTCATTCCAGATTGCTAGGTATAACTTATAAGACATACATACAGCTGATACTAAAACATCTATATGTTTTCATTAGACAACTTAATTACAAGCCCATAATCTAGCTGTCATGAACAGTTATCGACTAGTTTCAGAGTGAAAACACCAATGAAGCCATTGACAACTTAGTGTCAGCCAATCTGAACTCAGTGATACAGTAGAAGGGTTGCTTTGGTTAACTTTGACAACTTTAGTATAAATAAATTCATAGTCTTCATGGCAGAAAATCATATAAAGCTATACTTATCTAACTATTTCTACCAATCAGGGGAATACCCTCTATATTCCAATAAATTGTTTTAAAGAGTTAATAGCAGAAACAGTGATAGGGAGATGAGCCATATATTAGCTGGTTATATGAATGACTATAAAACCACTAACCATTCCTGAAGAAAAGTTGGCCTGTTGGCTTTCTCTCAGCAAGGTAGGCTGCAATTTGGATCTCACCAAGTTCTACCATACCAATGTTTGCAACCCCATTCAACAAAGCAGCTGAATATGAAGAGAAGACATAATTCATTAACATATTAAAGCAATGACCATGATTTGAATAAAGACTCAGGAAATGTAAGGAGGACAATAACAACAACAACAATAATATTAATATTAATAAAAGGAGCTCTAGCATATCAGTAAATTAATAATTTAATATTTGAGTTGAAAATCAATATATGTAATCATATTACAATCTATTTCTTTATCATAGTGGCCAGACAAGATGACAAGCAATAAAAATAATGTCAAAAGTGAAGTTCAAAGTTAATTAACAACAGTAAAGTCCACTTTGTAACATGAAAATAAATATTCTTTACTACATCCCAAACTTTCAGCAAAAGAACATACCAATTCTTTTCCAAGGATTAGCAAATTCAGCAGAGTGATTGCTGCCAGATGAATACACCTGAATGCAAATCTCAATTAGAATTTATTATGATTTAGTAAATCATTATATAAAAAAAAATTGCAGATAATCCATGATAAAATTGAATTAGGCGCTAACTAGTAATAATAAAACTGAAAATTCCAGCATATGCAACGTCTTCCCCAATACTCATGCTATAGCCTCCTTTGCACCAAAAAAAAAAAAAAAAACTGAAAATCCATATTCCAAAAGGAAACAGAACATGCATTCAGCAGTGTGAAGGCTGAGATTAATTCCACAGTTTATGCCTGAACTTTTGCAATGAAATATCAATAGGTCATACAATACACTGACATGGAAAAGTGACTTAGCACGGTTTGCCCAGCTTCTAGAACAAATTTATTTATTTCAAAAAGTTTAGGCCAAACAAGGTTTTGTAGACAAAACTTTTTAGCTACTCCCCAATGAGAAGTTCAAAAACATTAGCAAAAATTTCACAGAACAAATAAAATTCTTAATTACTTTAAATAATTTAAGGTAATTTCATGCTAACAGATCTTCTCAAAAAGGTGCATTTCCACAATGCCTTTTACTGAAGTTCCAACCATGGTAAACAGACTCTTAATTTACAGGGAGGGGAAGATGGGGCATCACTTCGGCAGAGTAATGAAAAGAGGCTCGGTTGGTCTTAGTGATAAAGATTTGAGGAAAAAAGGATTCAAAATGTATGATTCAACGAGTTTATGAAAATGACATAGTTAAGTTGTTTAAGCATGTCATAAAAATACTAAAATCTAGAAAATTATATTAATCACATCAAAATACAATTCAAAAGCACCTAGTAGCATTATGGATGAGAAAAACATCAAATGTTAAAGGATAGCAGTCAAAATCCTAAAGCTGGCATCAATGTTGAGTTGCCTTGTCATTCGTTCAACAATCAGTAGATTTTTTAAGGGTTTTCAAAATTTGAAAGCAAGGCTTCTCTCACATTTTTTTTTTTTTTGGAATAACCACTTGAGCCATAAGAAAGGAAACCAAGACTCTCATGATGACATGTTAATGTATTAACATGTTCTTTATAAAGCAGAGAATGCATTTTTCATACTGAAAAAGAGTTAAAATCTTGGCGAGCACAATGTTACCATCGTCAACACTCTATCCAAGAATAAGAGTTAGCTGACTGGTAACCTGACTCAACCCCAATTAAACACGGTATTCAATGTAAATTGGTATAAGTTAGAAAGAGTTCAAGAAGTTTAAGTTGAGTTCACCAATAAACAAACCAAGGAAAAACCCAAAACATTAAAGCTGTTGGATCACCACCAGTTACCAATTCAACATGGGTCAGTCCCAGGTTATCATCTCTCTCTCTCTCTCTCTCTCTCTCTCTCTCTGAAATCTGAACTGCTGTAATGTGAACTCTTAGTTTTCTCCATTGAACAAAGAGACCGTTTAAACTAGCTTTTATAGTTCAGCAATGCAGACTAACTGACTATTGAATATTTGACTACCTCAACAGTGACATTTGACAATGGAATGCATCTTTCTTGGGAAAATTTTGATTATGGAAAAGAAGAGAAAACATAGACAAGAAATGGGGATATACGATTAAAGTAACAATACTTTGTAAACATACATTGGTCAACAGTTGTACCTGAAGTAACCATGGTTTGGAATCTTGAAACATAGACTGAAACTCTTTGGAAGTAATCACATTAAAAGCATCATCTTCTGTGTCTACAGGACGTGCCATTCATCAGCCTCATATAAACTTGTTAAAGCAATAGACCATGAAAAAATTTTAAAAAAAGCTAAATATTCACAATTTCTATACCAGAAATATCAGCATGCAGCAATGGCAGCTCTATGTTGGAGAACTTTTCCCCTGCATATAGCTGACTGACTTTTTCCAAAACATGCTGCAGGCCATGGGAGTCAAACCATTCAATAAAACAATGCAAAACCCAGCATAAAGCTACCTCTCTCTCTCTCTCTTTCGGAGATGAGGCAAGGGAGATAAAACTATAGACAGCAACTAGGCTTCAATGAAATACTTACAAGTTGCTCATCAATTCCAAAGACATCATAATTCCTTTTCCATATGGGATTTGTCAAGAGCTCATAAGCATATTGAATCTGCAAGGAGACAAACACCATATACTTATTAGATTAAGATATAATTTGACCTCAGCATTTTAAGAAATGGTCTACCCATGTTCATATAACTAACACTAAATGTGACTTCATCTAATTGCAGAGTAATTTTAGGCTTAGGCTACATTGGATTGTTCCTTTCGCTACTTTGTTTTTGCTTCTCAGAAAGAGTTACAAAGGCAGAATCAAAAGTAACTGGTTGGAAATAAAATAACAGTAATTGATAAAAATGACCGAATTGATAAAATGCAACACTGATTCTAGCATAATTATTAAGTAAACCAATGCAATATTTATTTTCAATTCTTCAAAAATATAAGTATTTCCTTTCATATGATATGGACTTTTCACTTTTTCACCTGCAAAAGCAAAAAGCAAGTAGTAAAGCAACAAAGAAAGTTGCTTAACTATTAACAATTCAAAATGCTAGGAGCAATAAATTGTACCAAAACAACCAGAAAATTAACTTTATTTTTTCAGAAACAAAAAAAAAAAAATTGAAGAATGAACCTTGACAAATTCAGTAGTAGTAGGAACTTCCAGTCCTGAATTCCTGCAACGATCACGTTTTAGAACAGTTAAACAAGAAATTGTAAAATCCAAAGATCAACAAATTGAACAAACTTCTTAAACTTTATATTTTTTAAATCGTAAAAAAATAGAAGAAGAAAGAAACGAAGAATGACCACTTGGATTGAAGATTCTCATACGCCTCTTTCACTGTTTCCATTGAACTATATGTCTTTATTCCCAAAACTATCATTCATCAACAAAAAAAATCATTATACATAGTAGTGATTTTATAAAAAAAAATCAAGCAAGCATTTTTCTACATATAATATATGGATAAGAATACGTAGATATACATTGGGACTCACCATCGTAATGAGAAGGGGGGAAGGAGCGAGGGAGAAGAACGAGCTGATATAACATGGCGAGAGAGAAGAGAATCATAGGCACCGCATAGGCTTTGATTTTCGCCGCAAAATCTCCGGCCATGGCTCAATTTCGCCGCTGATTCCTCTGGTTCTTCGGAGATAGAGCCGACTGCCAAGTATTTGAGTTCAAGCTTGAAGTATTTTAAGTAACAAAGAAAAAAAAAAAAAAAAAAGGTAAATTAAAGTCTTTAACTATGTGTCTCTTTGGATTTTTTAAATTACGAGTTTTATTCCGACGATTACATGTATATTTTTTTTATTGGGGCATTTGAAATGGAACACGTGGTGTAAACCTATTGGCTGTAGTAAACGATTCTGATTTCTAACTATGTTAAATCCTCCGGTCCTGATCGGAGGATTTTCTAGCATTCCTTTTCTTGCATGAGGTTTATAACTTGAAAATAAACATTCTCTTAAATTTATCGCCATGTTATTTAAGTTTAATATTTTTTAGAGGAAAAGAGTTTGTAGATTTTGGTTTTAATATTTTTTTTTCAAATCAAATTAAAGAAATATATTTATGTGGAATCTAAAAATTATAAAATATTATCTAACTTTAAAAAAAATAGAATTGAATATTGGTGTGATATGTTAATAGAATATTAGGTTTTTAATTTCAGAATTTAATTTTTATAATCTCAAATATAAAAAATTAATTAAAATAAAATTTAAAAGAAAATAGATTAAATTTATCACTATATACTAAACTAGCTTCATGCACGAATTATTTTTATTTTATTTAATTTTAAATAAAAATATAAATTAATAATATTAAATTATTTACATATTCAAAAAATATGTAAAATATAAATAATATAATTAAAATATCATATCATAATAAAAATTTAAATTAAAAAATTAATAAACTTTAAAATATGTCATAAATAATCCAAAAAAATTATAAATAATATTATTAAGTATGCCAACAAAATATTAAAATAAAAATTAAAAGTCTTATCACTTCAAATAAATTTTATTTAATTTGCATTATCTTTAGCTTCTTTTGCAAATTTATGTAATTTTAAAATAAGTTTTATTTATTTGAGATAAATAATGATTTTAAATGTTAAAATAATATATGTGATAACTTACTCATGTGTATATTTTTATTTTATAGGAATTTCAGTAATATCATAATCTTTAGCATCTATATGACATTTTAAATATTTATGACTTTCAATTATTTTGAGGTTAACATCTAATACAAAAATTTTTGCACCTCCATTGAATCTATCATCCACTACAAAAATCAAAATAAAAGAAAAAATTCAATTTGATAAAACTTTAAAATTTTAGAAAGAATAATACTTTTACAAAAAATAGCAAAAAGAATTTTATTCAATAACAAGATTTTGAAGAATAAAACGTATGCAAAGAAAGAAAAAGTTTCACAACTTTTTTGATCGAAAAAAAATGAAATAAATCAAATTGGTATACAAGTCTATTATATCAATTAATCAGAACATCATTTTTATTTTATATAAATAAAAAATATTAAATAAATAATCAGTTAAAAAATAAAATATATTATCTGATTGAATGAAGAATTTGTGAAAAAATAAAAGGTTTGTGGATAATATCGGTAAAAATAAAAGAATACTTCTGTATTTGTAGTTTTGTATATTATAATATATGAAAAAAAAAAAGTTAAAATTAAACTAAGAAAGCTTACCTAAACCAAATAGAAAATAAAAAATAAATCTACCTTAAATGGAAGATCCTAAATGGAAAGAGTAATAAAAGATTAATACTAAAATTTATGAGAAAATAGAATATTATTTGGAAAATAAATTGAATGAGAAGTTGGTAAAAAATCGAGCTATATAATTTTATTTAATCCATAAATATATATTAAATAATAATTTTATCTATTTAATTATCTTATATTTAAATCGATTTTTCATGTAAAAAACTTAATAAACTTTAATCCATAAATATATTTAAATAATAATTTTATTTATAGATAATAATATTTAAATTTTGGTGTTTTATATTTTTATCCTCCAAATAGAAATCTCTAATTAGATTATTACTTGATAACTATAGGCTTGAGAAATTTCATCTAAGTGACCAACATGGCTTATTAGAGTTTAAAATTTATTTAATATAGATTTTCTTTTATTGTTATTTAATTGTATATTGTGATTTCATCTGTATAAATAAATGAAACGAATTTATTGAGTTTATTTTCTTACTTGTTTTTACTAATTAAATTTATTATGAATTGAAAAATAGAAAAAAGAAATGTTATAGTTGATTTAAAAAAAATTTTACCTGATGAAGTAAATAGTATGTTTAGTGAAATAATATCTATCATAAAGAAAAAAGCATGTTAATTCTTATAGCAATTAGCAAAAATAAATTAATAAAAAAAAAGATTAAATTAATAGTAGGAAAAATACATTTAGCTAATTAATAACTACCAACAATAATGATTTTCTCGAAGTTGTTAGAGTATTTATATCTTTTTTTTCACATTTTTTGAAAATATTAATATTAAAAGTTTATGACAAATATTGATTTAAATTTAAATTTTATTTTAATTTAAATATATTTAAATCTATTTTTTAAAATTGGTAGATTGTTTATTAAAATTATATTTATCTATAACTAAATATTTAAAATTTTGTTTATTAAAATTATCTTTATCTAAAACTAATATATTTAAAAATTAAAAATAATACAGGGATATTTTATAAAAAATATAAATAATATTAAATAATATTTTTAAAAATTATGATAAATTTAAATAATCATCTTCTGTGCAGATAAATTAGAAAAGATAAATTATTTTAAAATTAGTTTTAAATTAAGATAAAGTGATGTACAAGAGAAATGAACTTCATTAGAATTTAAATTAATTTTTGATTAAATTTTAAAATTTTAGATAATTTAATAAATTTTAAAATATATTTTTATAAATAATTTAAAATTAATAAATACTTATATATCATCATAATGAAAAATTTTAAAAATTATACTATGTGTCGAAAAAAAAAATCCACGTAAGCTTTCGTATCAATAAATTCTATTTAGTAACTATGTATGCTGTAAAATAATATATATATATATGATATGATTTGAGATATTATATTATTTTACTTTTTATGTAATTTTACCATCTTACTTATTTTTTTATACAACTTAATCACCTATGGACAGAATTAAAATATTTCATCCAAAATTCTTTTTTTAATGTCATATTTACATAATTGTATATATATATATATATTTTTTTTTATCCATCCTCAGATTTTTTTACTGGAAGAGACTGTACAAAACAGCAGATTCCATTCCACTAAAAATATTATGCAAAAACTCTCTATGACTGATAAAAAAAAAAGGATAATCACATAGTGTTTAAGAATTGCAGATGATTTTTCCAAAAAAAAAAGAATTGCAGATGAAAAATTACGGGTGGGTTTCTTTCACAGTTGCTTTCAATGCTTTGTTAAATTGTTTTGAAACGTGGTTGAAGAAATGGTAATGAATTGTGACCAGATCTATTAAAATTAAAGGAGAGAGCTGTTGCCATTTGGAAGAGAGGAAAATTTTAGAAGAAATTTTTTAGATAAAATTTATGAAATTTTTACTTAAAAATGATTAAATAAAAATTCAAATAGAAAATTAAAATTAATAGATTAAAAAGTTTTGTGACATAAATTAAGTGTTTAAATTTTAAAAAAAATTTAATATATATATTTAGATATATATTTTTAATAAAATCATTGATAAAATTTTTACCATTAAATAAATATTGATCAAAATTAAATTATAAATAATATTTTTAATAATTTTCATATTAAAATTTATCAGTTTATCAATTTAAAATTTTTATTAAATCATTTAAAAAAAACTTTAAAAATTTTATCCAAATAACTTCAGATAATATTTCTCCTTTGGAAGTATGCAATTGCCTACTTTGATCCTTAACCCCTGAACTGGATTTCCAACTTGACGATTTGCCAATTGTCCGTCTTTTTTTTTTCTTGATATTTCATACAATCGCTTTTTTTTTTTTAAGATAAAGCAGTAAAATTGCATTTGATTCCATGTTACTGTTGCTGAAAAAATTTAAGGGGCTGTGTCGGCGGCACACCATGTCTGGGTACAATTGAAAGCGAACCCCACACTTCCATTCAGTTCAGATTCTCTTCCTATACACAATACAGGGCAATAAAAAATCTGACATTTTTTAGAATAATCATAAGGAAACTACAAAACAAGCAAGAGATTGAAGCAGCAGCAGAAAGCCAAGAACCAAAAAAATGGCATTTGGAGAGACTATTACTGTTAACTTTTTGATACAAAGGAGATCATGATCTTATAATAAAGTAAAAAATTATTGATATTAAAATTTAAATTAAATATTTATTAGATGTCATTTTTTTAAATTGTTACACATGAATTAATTGAATTAAATTTTAAATTTAAATTATTTTGAATTTTTATTTTTTATTTAATATAAATTTTTAATATTTTATTTAGTAATTAAGTTTGTTATAAATCGAACTTAATCATTGAAATTAAGAGTTTAACATTTTGAATATGATTATTTCTTATTTAATCAATAACAAATCTTTTAGCAAATTTACCGATAGAAAACTCCAAACATATATATGATATGCACTTTTAATATCTCAATGAATTAATACACTGTCAAACATTATATGGTCCACAATCAACTAGATTGAACAGATCATCCCAATAGTTCTTCGTCCTCATCTTCTTCACTCACCCCATCATTGCATCCATTATTACCATCGTTATCCATGTTTGATTGAACTAATTTATCACTTCCACAACTATCGAAAAGAAGATGTGAGAACCCTTTGATCAAGTCTTCATCCCCAACATAGCAAGTTCCCATGTTCCATGCCTCAAACGCCATATCTTGGCATGCGGTGGACAACTCTTTATTATCTTCATTTGAATGAACAGAAGCAATATTGGTTGATGATGCTCTAGCGTTCTGCAAGAAATAGTTCAACGTAGATGTTGGAGAATCAAGATTATTGCTGCCATGATCGCCACCATTGTTATCGTTAACTACCCTTTGCCATGCTTTTAGTATATCAAGGCAACGGGGGGCGCCAAGTCCGGCAGCTATTTTGTTGAATCGCCGAGTAGGGAGAGACCCTGGTAAGTCAGGTTGCTGGTCATTTTGGCGTTGTTTTGATGACTCTCTAACCAACCTAGCTTCCGCTTCAAGTCGAGCACTCTCCCATTGAGCCATGTGAGCAAGGTTTGACACCTTCTTGGGATCACCATTGGCTGAGCCAACAGCTGCAACCATTGGCTTATGAGTAGCAGGATCGATCCCCATCCTGGCTAATCTTTTCTTTATATGTGTGTTCCAATAATTCTTGATTTCAT